TTGTCGCTGCCCAGCGTTACGATCATCATAAAGTCTGCAACGGTGCAAAGTAATTCAACCGCCCCAAGTGCACCGGCAGCGAGGGCAGTAAGGGCACTCTCGCACACTGCTGCAGTGAAAAGCTTCGCCTGCGTCTGTCCTACGCCCTGACAAAAGACACGCACGGGGGAACTCCACTCCAACAGTCGCACTCCACCTTCCATAAGCGATGGCTTTGTCGCAAGCAGCACAGCAAGGCTGAGACGGACGGACGGATCAGGAACGCTTAAGACTCGTAGAATAGTTAGGGGGTGAATTGACTGCGCAACTGCGACGTATCGCACCAGAGAGATGTTGCTACCGTGTTCCCCGCTTGCTGTCTGTATGGCATCAAGGATAGCGTGGTGATATCCCCCCGCAGCATCCGTTGTGCATACCACGTAGCGACAGTCACGAACAATTATAGCGGGCAAACTAGATGCAGGATCGTTTACAAAGTCGACTATGGCATCAATCTCAGTTTTCCTTTTATCACCTGTTTTCTCCCTCCCCAACATTTGCCCCCGCGTCCCGTTGTACGGCCCCTTCGCAATCTGCTGCGTCAGCCAATCACATAACGTTGTTGTTGGTGTCGTTGCACTCCTGTCATCATCCTCCCGCAGCTCCAACACCTTCGTACCCACCAACACATATAGCATGGAGCCCAACGTGGTTAAAAATACGGCATCGTGACCTGTGGCTCGCTGCAGCGCCACCTCCCGCGTCACACACCCAAAGGACAGCTTAAATAGCTTCACAAGCCCGTCACAAGAGTTGTCCAACGCCCATATGTCACCAGTGTGCGTGTGGCCCACATCGGCAGGAACAGAGGGCAGCGACGCCAGGTCCGTAAAGGAGGCCGCCCACTCCATTGTAGCCAGGGAGAGGGTCCTTGTCAACAAGGTCGCGGGGCTGGCGACGGTATCAGCAAACACAAACAGTACTTCACGCCTAGACCAATCGACCGACCAACTGCTCAGCGGTGCATTCACGTCCGGCGGCAACGCAAGTCCACTGTCTCGTGTCTGTGCTAGAACTGTCACGGATGCGTGCCCCACCGCCAGAAGAAGAGCGCTAACACGCTGCGTAGTACTGCAGTACGTAACAACGGCAAGCAAGTGATCAACATCGCCAGGAGGGGATCCGTCCATCATGACAGCTTCCGTCACATTCCCAGTGAGGGCGAGGCGTTGCAGCGCCACGCGACCAAGTAACGGCACTTGTGCCACTTTAGCACCAAGGGTGAGATCCAAGGCGTAGCAGGCAATGGCGTCGGCGGCGCGCACCACTAGCGTTGTGCCAAAGAATACCCTCATCTCATCAATCCTGTCGGAGGCAGGCGACGGTGATTGCAGTACTTTCCGCGACTCCTGTACAGGTTGGCCGTCGCTGTCACAACGACGAAAGTGAATGTGACCTGCCTCAGCGTAAAAAACACCACACTGCTGCATTGCTGCCCCGGGCGGGTGCCATGGTGCGCAGCACTCAGCACGCTTTGTCAAAAAAACCACCGAAGAAGCAGGAGCCGCTGACTGCGCGGAACCCGGTAGTGGGCAGAAGTACACGACCTGTCGGCCACAGGCTGCTATTGTTGACTCATCCAAAATCTCAAGGCGTTCACAGCTCCGCGGCAGCTTTGCCACCTCCTTCATGTGTGTGTGAGTCTGCTGTCGCCGCTGAAAAAAAAAAAAAAGAGCGTTCGCAAGACCTGCTCTTTTGTATTGCCCCGTTATTGTATACACCCAGGTGTGGATTTAATCGCAAGAAAGTAAAAGCAAAAGCAAAAAAAAAAACAAAGGGAACATGTCACGTGCATACAGAGCCACGTCCAGATATGTATAGGTGCGTACGGCTGGATGTATTTACATAGAAGCCCGTCTGTGCCCACACGGACGAAGTTATCAAATGTACTACAGTCCGCAAAAAAAGGCGTGGTGGCGTAATTTATTATTATTTTTTTTTTTATTATGTTTTGCCATCGTCGCATTCAATTGCTTCTCTTGAGTAGGCGTTTATAATTATCTTTTATTGTTTTTTTTTAATTTTTATTTTAAAACAGAGAAAACAAAATCAAAAACAAAATCAAAAACAAAAAGAGACCACAGTTTCCAAAGATCAGAATGCATTTAGAACTCAGCTAGCCTCGCCTAACCGTTAAGCACCCCCCCCCCCACCCCCCACGGAGACACACACGAGCGTGGGCATTTATTACCTTCCCTCCCCTTCTCACTCTCCGTTTACACAAGATCACGACCCGCGTCACTACCTCCTATTGCCGATTTACTAGCCCATTCTACCTGTTGCTCCTGTCCCCTGTACAAAGTGTATTCACGCACGCACGCACGCACACAGAGAAAGAGAGAGAAAGATAACTAGAGAGATGGCAATGATGTCGCATACCAATTCTACCTCCAGAGCCCTCACTGCGCAGCACACACGCACACAACTCGCTGCATACATAATAATAACATCGTTTTTTTTATTTTTACCTTTTCTGTTGTTGTTAAGTGTTCACTACGTTCGTACATATCATGTGTGTGTGTGTGCGTGTGTGTGTATGCAATGCGACTAATTTTTGTTGTTTCTTCCCCCCTGCTCAAGCGAGTCGAGCGTTCTACTCCTCATTACGCCTTTCGTATATTCTCCTTTCGCACACACAGCCATACACACATGCACCGCACGCACGCACGCACACAAACTGCTAATGAAGGAGCCGACCCTTTCAAATATATATATATATGTATATATATATGCACCTGCAGACGTGTCTGTATATGCATATTTGGCGTATGTGCATCATTGCGCTTTCGGAGGCGTCTGCGCACGTTCATATTTACAGGAATAGAAAATACACACAAATACACGCATGTGTGAATGAAAAGGAGAACGCACCCACTGAAAGGGAAAACATACACACACACAAACAAAAAAAAAAAAAAGAAGATACAACGCACACAATGGGAATGCATGAGTGAATAGAAAATAAAAACATAAATCATGCGCTTTCATTTCACTACTGACGCTCATATGCATTTATTTTAATGTATGCATCTCCGCCGTAGTCGCAGTGACAATTCCCACGTGCTTATCAGCTACCACCAGTCTCCCTTTTCTTTGAAGGAGGAACACAGCGACATGTCCCTCCTATTCTTACTTCTTGTTGCGTATGCGTTTCACTCCGTCAACCCGTTCCCCTCTCCTTCATCTTCCAGTTACCGCTGCGACAGCCCACGTTGGGGTTATCTAACCCCCGTGCAGCCTCTCTTCTCGCACAGCCACCACCGCGTAGAAAACGCGCAATTTTTACTTTTTTTTTTCAAGCCAAATAATTCCGGTGACACATTTCGGGTACTCGTCTCTCTTGCCGTCATACCTCACACGGCTGTGCCTTCTCGCATTTGCCGGTTCTGTGTTGTTCCGGCGGGTGAAGCGGACATAAATGTGACGAACGCAAGACGAGATAAAGAAGGAATTTTTTTTTTTAAAGATAAGGGTGGACGGTTCGTCACTTTTATGCCGTTACCACCTCCACTGTGCACGTATGCCTTCCGAGTTGTTTCTTCTGTCTCGCATGTGGTCTTTAGGCGCATGTTGTTTTCCCTCATCATTGGCGCTGGTGCGGCAAAAAGGAGACTACAGAAAAGTTGCATACGGCTGCACATATATTGGTGGTTATGAGTTTTTTTCCTTTTTGCGTCTACACCTACCCCCGCCCTCCCCTCACTTCTGCAGGCGGGTGTATTCGTCTTCATCGCAAACGGCACGGAGAGACGCACGCGCGCTGCTTCGCGCTGTCCGCCATTCAGCTGACTAACCCCCTCCCCCCCCCCTGTTTTTCTACACCCACGCGCATACCCGCTTTATGATATGCAGCGAAGGATTGACGCCCCCGTCCCGCTACATCAGCGCTGGCGTCGTTGACTCTGCGGCACATACACAAAGGCACGTGACGCACGTAAGTGAAGAACGGGCAGATGACATGCTTACGGAAGCAACGGCTCGTTCAATGTATCTCTCTATCCCTCTCTGCCCCCACCCCCCGCAGCAAAAGACGAAAATCCCACTCACCAACACCACCACCGAATATAAAGAAGAAAAAAAAATGAAATTGGCCCGCTCCCCACACACAAATTCACTAAAAGACCCACACACACAAGTAAACACGGCAAAACGAACGTGTGTCACCCATAGGTTCGTCCATTCAGACACCACGAAGATGGAGTGGATCGCGTGAATCCTTTCCTTATTCGTGCGGACATATTTACTCAATCCTACATACTTGCAGGGCATGCATGTGGGCAAAGTTACAACTTGGCCCCGTGGTGTGCTTCAGAGTAATTACAACTTTCACAACCTCTTGTGGATGCCATCCTTTTTTTTTTTAATTTCCTTCTTTTTTGGTTTCCTCCTCCCCCATTGCTCTTATTGCCAACACCCACTCACACCCACCCATCAGCGAGACCGACAGAAAAAACAAGCTGGTGTGCATGTTAGAAATGAAAGACGGCTGTCGGTCCGCGCGTCTCCTGTTAATACCTCATGAATAGTGCCAATTATGGCATCCGTTGTCTGTTACCAACATACGCACAACATGAGCGAGAAGGAGGAAAAAACAGGGGAAAAGGAAGACTCATTACCGTGCACGTTTCTCTTTGTATTCGTGCAAGTGTCGTTGGGGAGCCATCCACAGAAGTGGAGAGCCAAATAACGGAAGAAAAATAAAAGTGGGCATCTGCCCCTTCAGCAACAACTGTCTTTCCTCTCCCCGTATGAGACGCATTTATGCCCCACAACACACGCCACAGGCAAGTGCAGAAACAAAGGGCAAAAAATGGAAAACTGTGGGGGGCAGTACACGGCGGAAACACACGGGTGCATCCAACACTCAGTGGCCAACGCACACCCACACACATAAGCCCTTGAGACTGTTACACACACGCATACCATTTATATGTATGTTTATATATTTTTATATATAAATGTGCACTTGCGTAAGTGAGCCGTAGTGTCAGCAATCAAACAACATTCAGAAAAACAAGAACAAAAAAAAACACAAAAGTAAAGAAAAAGCAAAAAAAAACCAAAACAAAAAAAAAAGAACAATACCCCTTTTTTTAGTTTTTTCCCCTCTTTTTT